TATTCATTTGTTTTCTCAGCTTCCTCCTGTTATTAAGAACATGGCTTTCCAGAAGTTTTCCAACATGGAGCAATCTCTTTTCACGAGATTTGTCCGGCTTTGTGTTCCCACAGTTGAACTCGATGCACAGGGTCGTGCAAGATCCAGGTATGAATCATGAAAACCTCACCTGATTTAAATCATCCTAGGCGCTAAAGCTCGAAAGACTTAACCTTTTTAACATAACTTCTTTCAGCTTATGTAGCCTTTACAACTGGAGATACAACAAACTTGGTGATCTTCCTCATGTCCATACGTGGCCTGAGTACTGTGTGGAGAATCCTGGCTTTTTCTTTGATTTCCAGCTGATTGATGTCCAGGATTTCAACGGTGTTGGCGAATCAGAACCCAATCCTTACTTTTATCAGGTAAATACTTTGAGTTTTGCTGGGCTTCATAGTAAAGATCGGATACCCATGTACCTTCCTACGGGGATAACGGAATGGTTTCATTTCTTTGTTTTTCGGTGGCCGGCGAAGTTTTTTCTTTAAAGTTCAGTTAATGCAGCATTTTACTCGTTACGGTGGAAGTCACGCAAGTACAAATGAGAGCGTAACAGGAACGTTGTCACCTACCATGGCGCGAAGAAATTGCTTTGATAACAGCTTCCCCTTTCTTTACCACTTTAGAATCTAGGTGAAGCCGAATACGCTGTGGCCATCTTTATGTACATGCGCCTTATTGGGTACCCCGCTGACAAGATCGCAATTCTAACGACATATAACGGACAGAAGCATCTTATTCGTGACGTTATTAAGCAAAGATGTGCAAACAACCCCCTGATTGGACAACCGAGCAAGGTAAAGTTGAACAAAGGTAGAGTCATGTTTTAGCTTTGACTGTGCCTGGGACTGGCTTGGCAGGGATCTGAGTCAGTTCTACTTTTTAAAAGCAAATATTGTTTTGGTGCGTACCTTCGATAAAGTTGTGGGCTAGCCCCAAGCAGGATTTGCTACAATCACATTATATGCCAAAATGCGCTACTAAATCATAGGCAGCACTCAAGCAGTTCTAAGTGCGGCATTATAACATAACCAAAGTAAAGCGCGCGCTCTGATTGGTCAATTTAGCGTCCCCCATTTGCCCATGGGTGTACGCTGCTGACGTGAGCAAATGCAAAGACTATTTTTCCGCGCGCGCTTGTTTACGCTTCTTTCGTGCTTAGCAACCTCCCGCGTGCATCCATAACTCAATAGTGTACGCTGTGGTGTTTACCATTTGTTTTATAACATAACATTGATACATTGTAGCTAAAGAGTTCCCTTTTATTTAACAAATCTTACGTNGACTCTTACGCTTCTTTCATGCTTAGCAACCTCCCGCATGCATCCGTAACTCAATAGTGTACGCTGTGGTGTTTAGCATTTGTTAATTAGAGAACAAAGACTCCAAGTGCGGGAAAATATTTCAATGGTACCGCGTGGCTGAAACGTGTCTAAGTTCATGTGTGTTAACGATGGACCTATAAAAACAGTTCGAAAAATGTTTTGGCGGAAAAATTCCTACACGGATTGAAAGTTTAAAAAGAAAGACGCAACCTATTAAACAAGATTAGCAGTCTGATTCCTTGTGACTCTTTCGTTTTCTCTTCTTTTACTGGTTCAGGTCACCACAGTGGATCGTTACCAGGGTCAACAGAACGATTACATCATCTTGTCTCTCGTCCGCACCAAGACCGTGGGCCACATCCGGGATGTACGCCGTCTGGTAGTAGCTATGTCACGTGCTAGGTTAGGTCTTTATGTCCTCGCACGTGTTAGCCTCTTCCAGAACTGCTTTGAGCTAAGACCTGCCTTCTCTCAGGTGAATAGAACCGCTCATATTCTGATTATGTAACTACCGTAAATCCTCTATCAAGCCCCCTTCTAATAAGCCACCACCCTTTAATAAGCCCCTCTCTTTAAAGGAAGAAATTTATAAAGTCCCCACCCCTCCCTCTCAATGTAATCGAGCCTTACTAGTATGATGAAACATTTCATTATTGTTGTTTATTTGACTTTAGTTTGCCGTTTTGTTGTGTTTCTGCTTTAATGATTTACAAGATGATTATGACAAATCATGCAACTCATCACACTTTACTGTGGATTTTGACTCTGCCACTTTAATAAATGAAAAATGTAAAATGAGAACAATTTTTAAATAAATAAATAAATAAATATCCCATTGTATCCTGGTAGTGAAAATCGGGCTAAATTAAAAAGCCCCCCCCCCCTCTAGTAAGCCCCCCGGGGACCTATTAGAGAATTGCGGTAAGAGATAACTAGTTCGTTTGAAACAGTTCCCTTACTTATTTTTAAAGTAGCGTTACGCCCTGGTTAATAAACGTCACGCGGTGTTGCGTTATGCGTCAACCAACGTTCTGGAAGGGTTCGTGTGACTTTTCATGAGTGTCACCATTGGTAATACGAAGGAAAGAAAATTGACATTTGTGTCATTCTCTTCTCCTTAGTTGACCAGTAGACCGCTGAAGCTCTCCTTGGCACCAAGTGAAAGATATCCCCCATCCAGACCGGTGAGTTGACCGACAGATTTCTAACTTATGTCGCAAAGGCTGAAGCATTTTGTTTTTGGACGCACTTTACATCTCTACGCCTCTGAAGGAAAGTACGCTTTAAAGAAACAAACGTATGTCTATCACCCAACATTGAAGAGTGGAGGTGAAAATGTCACCAATAATTATCCTAAAAGCGTCAGATCACAATATTGTGGTTTGTTCCTTTTGCAACAAGATTACTTTCCATGTTTAAAGGTTGAACAATCAATCAAAAGAGTTAGTTCTGATGGTGGTTTTACTCAATTTCTTTTGCGTTTTGTTATCTTGTGGTAGTGATAGAGGACAAGCCACTCAAATGTACTCGCTGTTTTATCTTTTTTTTCCCTTATTAAGCGTGGGGTTCCCCCAGCCGTGCGACCGTTTATCGTCGAGGACATGCCTCAAATGCATCGCTTTGTATATGACTTCTACAGTCAGTATGTGGAATCACTAAAGGCTCAGAGAGAGGTAAGATTTTTTTTAATGTACCAGAGCAGGCGATCCGTTTATTTTTGTTTTGTATTGTTTTGTTTTCTGTTAACTCAAGCTTATGGAAACGACATGTGAACGATTGACAATGTCAGAGTCGCATCTTTACAAATTGCAACATTTGCGAGCGGCGCAATCCGCAACCAATTAGGAGGAGAACAGAGCAAGGTATGCGGGTCGTAGAACCGATTTTGAGCGCAGGATAGCGCTCAGCACGTGCAGCCAGGAGCTGCCAGCACTGATCAAGTGCGGAATGATCTATAGGCGCGGGAAACGAGCTGTACCAAGCTGTTTGCGTTGAAGTTATAGATTTTTCACCTGTTTATCTTTTAGTACATGGCCAACATTCCACAGCCGCCAGAGGAAACAAAAGAAGAGGAGGAGACTGAACAGGGCGACGATAAAGAAAAAAACGGAACAGAAAATGTAAGCGAGATAAACGAAGAGGCAGGATCGCCGATTGTCAATGAAGTGGAACAAATGGAAGAAGAAGCTAACTGATGTGTTTTGCAGAACTCTGAATTTATTACTGGAGAATTTATTGCAGGTTGACCAAGAATTTTGCTCTATCCGAGCCAAAACGTGATAAGAGTGAGAAACAAACAACAAAGAAATTTATCGTGATCTATAAAAAAACTTATTCTCGGTAATCTATTGGAGACCCATGCGAAAAATGTTTTGTATTTAAACACGCAAAGCGATAGCACTGCCATGGCAATGAATTTGCGTCATACTTTGTCGCCTAGTTGTCCGTCATTATGTATAAACTCAGTTTTGTATGCGTAAAAGTTAATTAAAACCTCAGTTTCATGACAAATATTTGGAACTTTTCCTCATTCCCTTTACGGAAGAAGAGGCGGCTGTAAAAATGGCTTTGAATGCTTTACCCCAGCAACTAGGAGAGCGAAAAAGGCAGTGCGAAAGATGCAAGATAGACCGTCAAGTGTCTCCGAGTTTAAGGCCTTCAATGGAAAAAGAATTGGTGGAAGTATGGCGCTCAGGTCTTAGATAACTTATGTGCATTTTTTAAAACAGTAAAGATGACGTGGAGTTTTTTTAACAACTCTTTGTCATCTTTATTGTTATGATCACACAACTATCTCGTGGTTAGGTTACGACATGCTATAAATAGCCACGAAATGTACTTTGGAAGCCTTTGGCATCAGAAGACCCACGGAGCAGGCGTATTTCAGGCGAACTGAGACACGTACTAGGTGGGGACGGGAAGAGCACAAAGACGAAGGGGGGAGAGGTGTGTAACTTGCCTGAACACGAAAAACTGACGCCTGATCTTTAAAATGGCACGGGCGTTTTGTTATAGGCCCTTTTACAACTTGAAGATATTTTTCCAAAGTTCAATAATGTATTTGAGAGACGCTGTAAAATTTCCTTATTGGGGAGGTTGTATATGAGTTTTATAGAAATTGGTTGCCTCTGACTGTTTTTCTGAAACAGACGCTAATGCTTAAACCTTCATCAGTTATATAAAAAACCAAGATCGTTATCATACGCTATTTAAAGTTAAAAACGTAACGCTTGTTGAAAATATGTAGAAATCTTACATTAGTCTTCTTATAATTAGTTAGGAATTTAGTTTTATTGCATTTAATTAGGAATTTAGTTTTATTGTTTGTACACGACCACAGCTTTTGCTGAATTTTATTTTTTATCGTGTTTAAATAAATGCTGTTGTTGTTGCGCGTCACGTTTTTAACTTTAAACAGCGTAAGTAGCGATATTCGTTTTTCATATCACTGATGACGTCTGTTTCACAACAGTCAGAGGCAACTAATTTCCATAACACTCATGACATCTCCTGACCACACTTTTTCCATCTTGAAACAGGTTGTATATGACTTACGATCCACTCACAATCTTGGGGCGTATCAAGTGAACTATAATGAGACGAAATGCATAAATATAAAAGTTCAGCCCGAAATAAGTTGTTTGTCTTTTATTCTGGCCAAATAATGCGGAAAAATAATCTTATTCAGTGACGAACTAAAACTAATTAATCTAAGAGACGTTAGTTTTAACAGTGTACTATAATAAAGTTCACTGGATCTCAAAATGAATAATCCCACAGATTAGAGACTTCCCATCTTGATCTTTGATTTCTGCCTTTAGTTTCAATTCACCACTGGGGAAAGTGGATGAGACGTATTCGATCAAAACAAACTCCACTTGGACACCGCTCTTCAATGGACAAGATAAGCCGTGGTCGAGACATACATCAGGATTGGGCAGCGGTAAAGGAACAGGTATCGGTCCAAAGATAGCGTAGGCGTAAATCTTAGCGCCGGTGACAACTTCGTGTGGAATGAAGTTGATGCTGAGGGTTTCATTGCTTCCTTTCTTCAAAACGCACGGTTCTTCCTCGCACGGGGTCACATCAATGGAGACGATTTCAGCCAGCTCTTCAGCGGACGAGCAGTTCTGGTAGCTGATTTGCTTGCAGGAAACTACTGCAATTGCCAGCAGAGAGACAAGAAGGAAAAGTTCAGCCTTCATCTTGGATTGCCTTTGCTCTTTCAGTTCGAATTCCTTTGCTATCCAGCTGGGATTTGCAGTCATGAAAGTGGTACGGTGTGGTTTCAGTTCGGTGTTTATATACAAAATTTCAATCCCTTATGTCACGCAACGACTTTCCTTTCACCCTTTCCAACTAAACATCAGTTTACATATTCTCCATACTGTTCTCTACTCATCAGCCTGCATAAAAGGCGCTTATTTAGCCATCATCTCCTAAAATACTGACCAGGAGAATTTGTTTAGTAATCAAGAGATTATCGGTTAGTCATCATTTTCTTTATTCCAATGACCTCAATTTTGATACAGGGCTGGGATGGTAACGAGAAATTAGATGTCACTCTCAGGGCTTAAAAGAAAAAAAAAGATGTGTTGCGCTATATAATCTTTGAGCTGACAATGATGTTAACACTTTCGACGCAAAATCGATGAACTTTTGAAATCAGTTATTAACATGGGAAAAGTAACGCGGAATGTGGACGCAAACTTGAAAATAGTGCTGTATTCCGTCGCCTTCACAGTAAAAATAGGCATAATTTCACCCGGAAATCAGTTTTCACTTTCTGGTCTCCATAGATTTGATTTCTTACATTACGCAGATAATAAAGGTATCAGCAACGACTCAGCTCAAACCAGGGGGATTTGAATATCGAAAGGACAATCGAATATTTTATTAAATTGAAGGACAGACCCGTATCAAAATCTCATCAAGAATCACGCGATGGTACTTTCAAATACCGAACTTGAGGAAAACAATCATCATGCATGCTTTCGCAAGGAAACTTCAGTTAGTGGATTACTATCGACGCAAAATCGATAACTTTTGAAATCAGAGCTATTAACATGGGAAAGTAACGCGGAATGTGGGACGCGAACTTGAAAATGGTGCCGTTTTCCGTGGCCTTCACAGTAACAATAGACATCAGCTAATTGCCTTATTTAAGCGGAAGTCAACTTTCACTCTCTGGTCTCTATAGATTTGATTTATTACATAATGCAGATCTACTTTATTATTCTAATTATTATTCTAATAATCATTATTTTAATAATAAAGGCATCATTATTATGATAATAAAGGCATAAGCGATGACTCAAATCAAACCAGGGGAATTTGAATATCGAAAGGACAATCAAATATTTTAAACTGAAGGACAGACCCATATCAAAATCTCATCAAGAATCACGCGATGGTACTTTCGAATACCGAACATGAGGAAAACAATCATCATGCATGCTTTCGAAAGGAAATTTCAGCTAGTGGATTACTATCGAAAGTTGTCCTAAACCATATGCAAACATTACTTTCAAATGTTTGACTCAGTAAATTTTGTCACAAACAAAGATTGTTCCTCAAATTATTAAAATTTATTTAAATTTTTAATCCGGACTAACTAAGGCTTACAAGCAACTTGCTGAATTACACGCCGATCAAATGAGCATAAGTGTTACTATACACTATGATGCACTTCTTTGTCGCTACATTTCATCTAATTTAAATCAGAATTTTAAATAAATTGACACAAATGCAGTACATTTAATTTAGAGTTAAATGGTATATTGCGAGAAATATATTAGGAAAATAATTTGTTTAATTATCATCGGTATAAATCAACAGAAGCTTATAGGTCATAAGCTTCTGATGTTATAACATTAAATATTCTAAATTAATTTTTTGATGGAGGGGCCGAACGCCTTCCTATAAGCCTATCTCATTTCAAAATCTACTAATTTAGTCAGATATTCCAGCTATCATGACCCAATCACTGAGACTAGTGCCAGTCACCCGCTCGGTTTCTCAAAAATCAACTCGGTACTAGTTTGTTCCCTGGAAACGTCGGTGACAAGCTACGGGCTTTCCCAACTTGAAAAAACGATACACACACACACACTAGAGTCTATCAGCTAATAACCATCACGAGAGAACCAAGAAGATTTCTACATTCGCACTAAACCCAGCGAGCCAACTGATCATAAATCTCACCAAGATCGCGACTCGAACCCCTTGTAAAGAATTTAAACAAAGCCAACACAAGGGAGACAAACAACTTACTAGCGATCGTTTGGAACTCAAGCGCGCGGTGACATCGCAGTCTCCTTGCTTGTTCTTGTTCAGGAAGAAAAACGACGGTAAAATAAGTGCATTGATTCTTTCAGCTCTTTCTTTTAGTGGTTATAATACAAAAATAATATATATGACATAATTATATCCGAAATATATTAACAATTGTCTTTGATTTGATTCAAAGGTAAGATTGTGAATAAATTTCTCTGTATTATGGTAACTTATTAAATTGTCTCTGACGAACACATTTTCTGACGCAGGCTTGCTAAATTTCGCATTCATAATTCATAAAAGCTTTATCTGTGAATTCATAGCATAAAAGATATGATTCTAAATAAAGTCTAGAAAACTTTGGTTACAATCTTAGCCAAAGTTAACAAAAAATTGCCCTTTCCCACACTACACAATATAAAATTGCTTTCTTTTGTGAGCGACTACAAAACAAATATAGTGGTTTATCTGATAAATCGTAAAAACAGCAGTGAGCCAATGAGATTTCAAAGCTAGTAAACGTGATCAGCAGCAAAGTGCGGGAAAGGCGTGAGCTGCACTACTTTTGTCATCCAATCACAAAGCGAGGTACAGCAGAATTGACCAAAATCCATACTACTGTAAACATTCAATTTTCTCCTCGACCTTCTCGGAAAATTTCAGTCATCTTCAATTTTCTTGAGTTCCCATCCTCCTTCTCCGTCAAGGTTCAACTCAAAGTCGTGAAACTGAAGAAAACAAACCGATAGGGGACGTTATCAATCAGTGCATTTGTGCAGAGTCATTTTGCTTCTTCGTTCGTTCGGTCGTTCCTTCTTCGGTTCGATTCTTCGTGCATTCGTTTGTTCAAAAGTGCGTTCGTGTACTCGTTTTTGCGTTTGTAGGCGAACTCGTCTGTCCATTGGCACACCTGTTACCTTCGCTCGTTCGCGCTTTCGTTCGCGTGAATGATACATACCTGCCTGAGGGATCTCCTGTGACCAATGCTTGACACAGTGATTCCAAAGTCCTTGCAAATCGAATACAGCTTGCTCTCCGTGGAAGTGTCTAGGGCACTTGTTGCTTCATCAAGGACTGAAGAGAACAAATGATGTTCCATAAAAATTAAAACATTCATTCCTACGATTAAACTTCAATTTCGTGTTTATAATTTTAAACCTTGTCGAAAAAAGTGGTTTTTTTTTTACTTACGCGCAACTTGTGGTCGTTGATAGAACAAACGAGCGAAAGATAATCGTTGCATCTCTCCTGGAGTCAGCATGTCCTCCCTGCATCAAAAGATATTTCAAAGCTACACATATGGAATAATAATCAGTCTTAACTAAAACTACGAACAATCAAACGACCAGCAGATTTTCTATGAGAGAATTTCGAATGACTTAAAGCTGCGTTGCGCCTTAGAAACGACCGGCTCACAATCACTTGCTTCGTAAGCGCAAAGCAAGTTTTCTTCGCATAGTTAAACCAGCACAAGCTGAGGAGTATAGACATGCGGAGGCGTTCGAGATTTCAACACCTACCACTTGCATTCCACAGGATTATCAAGGCCACCTACTCGGCCGCATAAATTTGCCTAAGGACGGAGAAAGAAAGTACACAGATAAACCTCAGTAAAACTAATTTAAGTAAATTAACCCAAGCAATTTTAAATTAAGATGACTCAAATAAACGCGAACTGAAGGAAACATAACTTTCTACTTCTGGAAATAAATGTGTACCGTAAATCGTCAATTAGCCCTCCCCCTCCCCCCCCTCTTTAGAGGAAGAAACTTTATTAAGCCCCTCCCCATATTAAGCATTCCCACCCCTCCCCCTCAAAAAACAGAAATTAAAAATACACTCCATGTCAGTACGATCAATTTATTCAAGTACTGTACTTTTAGTTTGTAATTTCAAATTGCTTATGGTGATCGACTGATTAATGTTATCAAGATAATTATGACAAATCATATAACTCATCAGACCTAGCCGAAGATTTTGACACCGCCAATTTGGCAAATGAAAAAAATGTAAAATGAGAACAATTTTTGAATAAATACGGTACATCACATCAGGTTTTGCACAGCAGCCATGATGTTGCATGGCAAGAACAATAGATTATTTTTCCCATGGGAAAAAAATTTCTTTCTTATGTAAAATATTTTCATTGTTCCTGCCATGCAACATGGCTGCCATGCAAAACCTCTATAATCCTGATAGTGAACATCGGGTTAAATCAATAAGCTCCCCCCCTCTATTAAGCCACTCCCCCTCTAATAAGCCACTCCCCTAAAGTACCTGAAATAAGTAAGTCCCCCGGGAGGCTAATTAGCGGATTTACGGTAACTGGCGTTAAAAATTTGTAGTAAGGAAAATCAAAGTGACGAAAAACGGGATTTAGTTGAGACTACAAGAACAAATTTCTTTGAACATTTTGAGTAACAATCTCCGATTCAAACACAGGTTGGAAAATTTTTTCATAGAGGAAAGTGTTGGGCTGATGTCTTCTCGCAGATTTTAGAACATTGGTAGATCCGATTCACCCGATAAACGTATCAAGAAAAGTGGCTCAAATTTGATAACAATAGGCTTTGTTAGACGGGCGAAAAATGACCCTATATGGCCATTTTTGAACAATGGCGCAACAGCTTCAGAACACACGAGGGATTTGTCGAAGCTTCCGATTAGCATACGAGCGGCAAATTTAAACGCTCGGAAAGACTAGACTTTAGAACTATGACGACTTTAGTTTAGAACTATGACAGTTTCTGAAGAAAGATTTATACGGGGAGAGGTGGTCTGAATGAGACACATAACGTATTTTGAATTCTCGATGTGTGCATTGCCACATTAGCGGTCAATTTTTTCCTGGGGTAGACCATTGAGAGTTGACTCGACGAGACAAATTTACATACGTATGATGCACGATCCTCGCAGGAGGATCGTACATCATACGTATCTAATACTGCAGTTTAAAATATATGAACTTCATATATACATTGTATCAGACAAATTTACGCTACCCACTTCCCCAAAGTGGCTAAATCAGCGTTTAATTTTCCTTGGGGTACTCCGGTGACAATTTATCTGTCGTGTGCAAATATGCGCTACCTACTCTTCCAAAATAGCTAACTTGTGATGCCAAAAATTTTTTTTCCGATTAGTCACGAACTCTTTCTCGTCGCTTCGGCCAAAGTTCCTCAGCGCTACAAAGAACAAAAGGACTATTGTTTACTACTTAATGTGTGAATTTGAGCCAGAACAATAGACCATTTCAGTTTTTGTTTCCGAGATGTTCACAAAGGAGTGGAGTGGAGTGAACAAAGAAATGGGAGCTGTTACGCCAATGTTCCAAATTGGTGTTGGTTTTATAGCAAACTAACATTTGATTGAAATCACTAGATAGGAGCAGTGAACAAGTGAAAGGTAAGCTAAAGCTCCCATCCCCTCCCCCCCTTTTTCTGTTCCAGAATTTTTGTTTACGAAATCTCGATATTTCATTTGCTTAGATAAGAAGTTCACTTAATTTACTTACAAGTCCCACAGTATCGAGCAATCGAAGAAGTTTCTCGTCTTCGTCACCTGTGTTTTAAATGAAAATATGGAAAAATACATATTGGTAGATATGCGCAAAGTTTCACTGGCCGAAATTTCACGACCACATTTAGTTTGAGTACTAGATGGGCTCGCTAGTTAACGGTACACGTTCCCTGCAAGGAACACCGCTAACTACCAAGAGGAAACAAATAAAGCGCTCTTGAACATCGAGGACTAAAACCAAATTAATCAAAACAACCAATCAAGTCAAAAGTACATGTCAAAAGCCAATGGGAACGCAGAGCATACGTGTACACGAACAAAAGCGCGGGAAAAAATAAATCGGCAAGTGGCCATTACTGTTAGTTCTGCATACGATTGGTTCAGAGAGAAGCGAATGTTTACGTGACCAATCGGAGAGTGTAATGAAGCAACTCAATCCGTCCCGGATTGCTCGCGATACTCAATTGAGAATTGTTTAATTGGTCATTAACAACTGAAAGTCCTAACGCAAAGCGGCTTCACATCACAAGCGCCTCGAAACTCCGACAAAAGCTAGGCATTGTACAGTATTTCGGGTCGAAATAAGATTTTGCCAAGATATCACTTCGTTGCGCATGAAAACATAAATCATAACTGTTATTACCTGCTACAGAGTGGCCTCCATAAAGAAAAACATTTTCACAAGGGTAAGTTATCTAAAAAAAAAATCAATAACAAAAAACTGATGATTATGGTATCTCAGGGAAAACCAAACATCTTGAATCGTATTTTCCCATCTATGGCAATGCCATGGGTATTGCCATATTGCCATCCATGGCAATGCCATGGACTGATTTTCAATTTAAAACGATATAACACCGACCAATGACAAAAAAGCGGTTCACTAACAAGAACTCAGAGAAGACACACATGACCGACGAAAAGCGCGGGAAAACGCAGCACACGTCTTACTTGACGTCATCCTAACACAGTGGCCAAACTTATCCGGCGCATGTGCTAACGTTGTAGAGGCTAATTGGCGTGTCAGAACTAAGTTGTCGTATAAAAAATCAAACAGGCGTGTAAGTCGCACTGTTTGGAAACCGTATAACTGTTTTGTTAAAGCTTAAAACAAAATAGTAAATAAGTTCTGTTTAGAGAAAATCTCGGGTTTTTTTTTTCCCACTTTTATTTCCTTTTACAGATTTCCAAGAACGGTTTGATGTTTTTCTTCCCGCATATTTTGCGTGACAGTGGTTGTTTCTTATGCTTTCATCGAAAATTTTGCACGGAAAATTGGTGCCGGCACGGCTGGTATAAATTGATCCCCATGAGCATGCCTTACGTTTGACCGCTGTGCTCCCCACATTGGTTGTGTTTTGCCGCGTATTTCTTAGCCAATTATTGTTCAGATCAGGTCTTAGAATCGTCAAACGTGTTTTCTCTCACCCATGTCAACTTACTTTAAACTTTCTCATGCCGTGATCATTTTACACCGTATTCTTGTTCATTTTCTTTCGTCTGTTTCCTATGGTTGGCGCTAACATCTTCTAAAGAAGCTTACCTGTTCCCGTAGTGTACCATCCGTCACGAAAGTCTTTTGTGGTAAAAAGAAGGCAATTTTGGGATCAAAAGGTAGAAATCGTATAACCTCTCCTGTAAAAAAAACATGGAAAGGAGAAAGTGACCGGAGAAATCGTTGCATCAGATTTTCCCACTTAGAGAGACAGCAAAATTTTTAGATATCCATGAATGCTTGTAACGTTTAGAGCGCGCGAAAATTTCTGTCCGAAGAACAACCAATCAGAGACTGTACATAAATCGTCATGTAGTGGCATCAACAACATAAAAAATAGGAATTATTCGGGAAAAATTCTGGATTTATATTAGTGCTGAGACACCTGATGCAATAGAAGACGATGAAAATATATTCAAAATTGATAAGATAATTCTACTTAAATCCATGTTATACTTAATTACTAAATATATCTACCTGAAAGAGGAACCCACATTCCGCTTAGGATCCTAAACAAAGAGCTCTTTCCACTTCCTGAAAAACGGAAATAAAAAAAAAAAAAAAACACTTCAATAAAATATCCTGACGGGTTGGGGTCCATCCGGATGCGCAAAACTACTTTAAGTTTGAAGGAATTTGACTTCTTAATGTTTGTTGGTAGAAATGTAAATAGTTACATGAAGTAATGCTGACAAAGTCGAACGGTCTAGTGGCTTCGTCTCTCAAGGTACATTTACCGCGTCTGGCTCCCTTTACGTATTTGTAGGATTTTTTTTTCTATCAAGGGATGTAAAAAATACACTTAACCAGATTGTTTCAATCGATTGGCTTATGGCGCTCCGCGATTGGTGTAAAAAACTCGCGCCATTCCCTTAACCAATCAGATGCAAAGCTTAAACAAATGACGCTTTTGTCATTCGCGTTTTCCCGCGTTTGAGGTTGTTCCATTGTAATTATGGTGGCTTCTTATAGGCTCCCCGGTATTGGCTATGTTCCCATTGGCGGTTGTGGTTGCCCCGCTTACAGACATTCTCAGAAATTCTTCAATGGCTTTCAAATGTATGGTAAGTCAAGGAGGGCGAAAAGAATTACCAGTACTTCCTGTTAAGAGAATATTCTGGCCATGGCGAATCTCCAAATCAAGATCTAGAAAAAATTCACAGTGAGCTTTAAAAAAAGATTAAAACTTAACAAACTTACTTAATCAAAAATATTACAGGAAACAAACAATAACCCAACTAACTTATTAAATTATGCCAAACAGTACTTCACACCAATTAAAGCAAAGATAACAAAGAATCAACAAAGCATTTATCGTTCATTCCGTTTGATCTGAGTGTAACATCTAAAAAAAGGTTGGTTTTATCGCCAGAATTTTTTAATATTTTGTTACCAATACATCTGTTGCATGAACCAAGCTAAGATAATTATGCAAATATTATTTCTGATGCTAAAAGTTAATCTATGGCTCACCTTTGACAAGAGCGTCCGTGCAATTTGGTGGAGCATAAGAAACACAGCTGAACTTGAATATAACATCACTGTCTTGCGAAGCCAAATTCTCAACTCTGCTGTACCATTAAAAAAAATAGTAAAAAATGCACTGTTATCTGAGCTGAGACACCAAACCACAACTTCACCTTCCTAAGCTTCAAATGCCAATCACTCCCTTTCAAAGGCCCCAGCAATGATTTTTGTTTTCATCAGTCCACGAACAGAAGAAACAAGAAGTAAACATGCTCTTTTAACAAAATAGATTCCATGTTGCGCTGCACCTGTTCAGTATCATAATAACAGATTTGCTAGTAATTTCAATTTTTTTTTTAAGACCAAGAGTATCCACTAACAAGGGAAAATCATCATTCAAATTCTCTGGTTCAAAGATCTGGGAAACTGTACCCAACAATCTTAAATATGTGCCCTACAATACCTTTAAGAAAGAATGGAAATGCCAACTTTTGCTTAATCAAACTTGATTATTTTGCTTTACTTTAGTTTACTGCTGATTTATTATTAGTAAGAATAAGTATAGGCTGCTATTTGTGTGATCATTACTGTTTCCAACTAGAAAGCTCTTGCTACCTTGGCTGCCGTGCACATCTCAACCTTATTTTTATGGCCAAATATTACCTTCATTTTTTTTTTCTCTTTCTCTTATATTTAATGTAAACCCTGTAAATGTCATTTATAGTGTGATATAAAGAAAATTGAAATTGAAATTGAATCCCGGATCACAGATTGCATCAAAATATAGTAACAACAAAAAAGTGGTACGAGTGGTACAGCTGATTGTGTCACTGCAGATGTTCTGAACAAGTTTTTATATCAACTGACAAAAAAAA